TGCCATTGTTAACAGTCAACAAAAAAGTCGCCCAGCTTTGCAGAGATAGTTTATTTTTAGGAATAACTCATCCGCTATTTTGTTATACACGTGCTAATGAGTAATACGTCGTTGCTTATTTTGCACGCATAAGCTGATGAGAATTATGAGGAACACACTTTGAGTAATCTCACTAGATCGGTGAGCGTTTGAAAAAGAAACTCGTACACAGAACAACACGTTATGGTTTTCGAGATAATTAACTCAAACGTACCCTCTGATGCTGACTCTCCCGTGATAGAGAACAGGTGACGACGAATCGCCTCAAACAGATAGAAAGTGAGAAGGACGAGGAAGAGAATACCAGCCAGAAGGCAAGGTAAGCACAGGGCGTAGATAACAGCCTTAGCGGTGCCAGAATATTCTCCCAGATATCCAGACACCTTTCTGGTCATGCTGTTTATCTGTACGGTGATTTGGTTAAACTGTTCTTCTAGGCTTCCCATGAGATCGTACATACCACTGAGAATTTGTTGCAGGTCCAATTTACTTTCCAGTTCCTTCATCACCTCCTCCTGCACAGCTTTCAAATGTTGTGTGATGTTATCCAAATTTGACTTAAGTTCTTGTAACTGGATGTGTGTTCTGTTAAGCAAGAGCGTCACTTCGGATGGCACTGGCACGACCTTTGCTGGATTAAATTTGTTTCGAAGATTCTAAAAGACCACACACCAGTATTTATACAATTATTTTATTGATATATTGTAAGCAAATCCGAGCAAGATAGACTAGATTTTCGTCTCAAACGTCATTAAGATGGAAAAGTTTCGTCAGTTGCCCGATAATGGGAATGTCTTTTATCAAAATATGGAAACAAATGCCTCGACATAATGCCACCCTAACCATTTGTTTTATATTTTATTTTTAACATTTGTAAGTCATGCAGTGCCTTGCCACGTATAAGGGGAATCCAAAAAGGGAATTATTTGGTGAATCTGTCTTATTCACGATAGCATCTTAAAACATTAATCCATCTCAACATACTGTCTCAAGTGGCTTTTCACCGTATGAACTGCTTTCTACATTCTCCTAAGCTGATGCCATTAAGTGCTTCCAGTAATATTTAGTCCAGTTCCTCTTATTACTGAAAACCTTAAACCTTTCTGTTTTGCTTTATTCTTGAAAATGAACTGTGCAAGAAGGGTGAGGACCCGTCGTCCTATCGTCTTTCTCCAAAATTTAGGGGCTGTGAATGCCATGGGAAAGAACGTTGTCATGATGTAGTTATTAGGTCTCAGATCCCCAAAATGCACTGCCACACTCAATCACTTCAGCAACTGCAGGTTTAAATATCTGTTTACCGAGGTAGCCTGTGTACCAACTGCAACGTGTACGAATCCTGTGATGTCAAAAACAAACCATAATGGATAGGTTTTTACTTTAAGTTTGTCGTCGCAACATCGTCCAGAGCGTTGGCATGGCTTTGATTAAATGATCATTCTGTCCACTGCGATAGCTTCTCACGAATGCTACACGGCCAGTTGAGTAGAAGTGAAAGTACAAAACGACAAAAGGCAGAACTGCTATCCCATTTGCCTATAGGTAATGAGTCCCCTTTTTCGTACTCGCTGCTATACGTATGTAAGACGAGTAAGCAGTACATAGCAACTTGAATTAATTTAAAAGCACACTTCGATCTTGTTTGATGAAGACAATTGCAGCAGAACCGTCACCCAATGTTTAAGTATTTGTTCTCAAAAAAATTAATTTCAATTATATGGTAAAATTCTTGTCTACTTATAAAGAAAGGGTTAAAAATATAAAACTATGGGGCTACGTTTGTAGAAATTGACTTATACTTTATCCTATCATGCCTATTTAGTGAATCACATTGTCGACTATGAGCCATTCATTCGCTTTTTTCTACTGAATATCGCCTACTCTAGCTAATCGAAAAACAGTATGCCGTCGACAATCTAACTGCCAAGGAAAGTTTCATCAAAAGGAAATGTACCTCTGAAGGAGTTGCTGAGCAGTTAGTTATAGTAGAGTTGAGGAGGAAATTCAGTTCGAGGGCGTTGTTGACGATGGTAGGTACCGTCAAATTATATTTCTTCCATATATAATCCGAGTACTCAGTCGCGTTAAGGATTGCATACACCAAGTCATCCACTGCCTCCAATATTTCCATCACTTTGAAGTTGGTCATAAGTGCTGTCAGTAGGCTGGTAATCTCATCTGGTAATGTCACCTACAATGTAAAAATTCTTATAAACAAGAATTTGCAATACAACATATACTTAGATGCTAAAAGTACGGAAGTTACACATTTCTTGAGCCAGAACAAAAAAAATTTGGAAAGTATACTCAAGGTTCTTACTACGTTCATACAATTCAAATAACTAAAATCTAATCCAAATTACAGGACACTGCATAGTTTTATGCCTCTGTTTGCATATGCTCGGAGATAGTCAACTAGCTGTGCACCCCATTCACGTTACAAATAAGTTGCCATACTTAATTTTAAAAACAAATGTACATTCAATTTGTCTGAGTTTGTTAACTGATATAAATCGGGCTTTATCTACTAGGTATAGCGAAAAGTAATGTTCCACGCGGTGAGACATATTTAACCACACAGGAGCTGGAAAAGCGCTCCAGTGGGAGCAAAGCCTCTCAACGACCTGCATCATGGCGTTATCAACTATGCGTTCGAGGTCATGATAAACGTTTAATTTAAGTGTTTAGGGTCCGCATATCAACCGAACAGAAATGCAGTGATATATAAACTAACGATGAATTTTGTTTTTATGAAGAATAAATGATTTTAAGTGTTCATACAACAGAAATTAATTCAGAGAGGAGGTAAGCATATAAATAATTTATATGCATAAATGTTTAAAGTTTGCTGGTTCTTGAAATGAAGAAATCATTTAGCCAGACGATTGGTTTAAAATTCTGCTTTTTGTCGGCATTACATAACGTATTTAAAACATTTTTTCACATACAAGTACAGGCAATTATGTATACAAATGGCTTCGGTCAATATGAAGAGATTTAAAATCGACCACTTCAACTTTGGAAGTGAACCTGTCTCATATTGTGTATTACTTTAAACCGCCAAAAAAATCAGTTTAAGTGAATGGGATCAAGATTACGCAAGGGACCAACATTACAGTCTGATGAAAGATACGGTCGACCTGCTGATCTGGGCTTTCAATCTCCGAATGTTAATTCTTTAAAACTGCAAAGCTCTATAATCACACCCCAAATCTTGTTTTACTTAAGAACACATACTTGTAAGGACTCGCAGAACTGTAAATAATTCGCATCGGACGTGAAATATGCATAATATTTATGCATAACAGCAAAGTGTGTGCTGCTTTTTAAAATGAAGAAAATATTCAACTTTAAGATGGGATTAGAAGTTCATATTTATGACATAATCAGTTGAAAAATGTTAGTTAAATACAAACACAGACTAATAAGCACATTAATTACCTCAGCTATCCAGGTGGAATTTAAGTTTGACAGCTTTAATTTTAGGAGGTTAATATGCCTCAGTTAGTGGATTGCGTGAAAGTATAAATAACGCTTTTGCTTTAATATAGATGGGGCTAAAACTGCCGACTATGTTTATTCAGATAGGAACATTTTGTTTGTTATTTAAGACGCCAGCATTCAGAAAAAGAGACGAATTCTTGCCTTAATGAACCATTATATGTTAATTTTCTCACATTTGCGTCAGCAGTTAGTCTGCAAAATGTGAAATACCCATTTGAAAAGTAAAATTTAGACGAGAAATATATAAAAATCGTTGGGATTTATCAAAGCTAATTTATAGCAGCTAGTGCTTTGTTTGCAAGCCGTTAAAAATGAACAAGCTAGTTCATCCCAATCTTTTTCTCAATCTCACAATATTTCTAGATGGCATGAAATAGGAACGGCTGCTTAATTAATTTAAATGAAATTTTTACAGGGAAGGAAAAAGGAAACAGTTTTTTTCTACCTACCTCCAGAAGATTCTTCGTTACGGTGTTGATTGTCTTATTCACATCAGTTTTGGCTGATTCGATTGATGTTGTTACAAACGTTTCAACATTTGAAACTGCAAATTCCATTATTCGACCGATGGAGAAGCTGGATGCGTTGCCCCCCAGCCACACAATCACCTCATAATCAGTCGCCTGTGAATTGGCCAATGTCTCACCCACGACACTAGCCGCTCCAAAGTAGTAGCCGATGCAGACAGCTAGACCAACTAGTAGAAGAGCGGTCATAGCGAACGCGAGAATATGCAGGCCACAGCAGATAAAATTTTGGTCGTTTGTTGATGACTGAAGAAAAGGGATCGCATAGCGGTTTTAG